CAAGAATGGGAAGCCTCTCACAACAACAGAAGAACAATTGAAGAGGTGAGTATAACACTTTGGAGAGCTATTAAATCGACCAACACCAGAAACACCTCCGCACATACAACCAGCCGAAACAGACCTCCCGATCAACTGCGATAAGCCAACAAAGACAGAGATCAGGAGAGCAATTACCAGACTTAAGAATGGAAAAGCGGCAGGGCCTGACGAGATACCAGCATGTCATCAAAGAAGATACAGAGAGAGCTGTTGACATCCTATACAACCTCTTCAAGAAGATCTGGGAGGAAGAGAACATTCCGGAGGAATGGAAAGAAGGCATCCTTATTAAGCTGCCAAAAAAGGGAGATAAGGAACTGCAGTAATTACCGGGAAATTGTGCTCTTGACAGTGCCTGGCAAGGTCCTCAACAGGATCCTTCTCGAGAGGATGAAAGAGGCAGTGGTCCCAAAGCTCCGTGACCAGCAAGCTGGTTTTAGAGCCAACAGATCATGTGCTGACCAGATAGCCAGCCTGCGCATCATCATTGAACAGTCAATTGAGTTGAAGTCCCCCCTCTATATCAACTTCATCGACTATTAGAAAGCATTTGACAGCTTGGACCGAGAAACACTGTGGAAGATACTGAGTTTCGAGGTCAAGACAGGAGTTCAACAAGGATGGTTGCTGTCACCATTCCTCTTTCTCTTGGTCATTGACTGGATCATGAGGACTACCACATCAGGCGGGAACAATGGTATACAGTGGACACTCTTGACATAACTTGACGATCTAGACTTTGCCGATGACCTGGCTCTACTTTCGCACAACCACAGTCAGATGCAGGATAAAACAACTCGCCTAGCAACAACATCAGCAGGAACGGGACTCAAGATCAAGTTGAAGAAAACAGAAACAGAAATGATGAAGATAAACACCACTGCCCAAACACCAGTCACAGTTGGTGGTGAGCCCATCAGAGAAGTTGAGTCCTTTATTAGCTGCAGAACTGTAGCTCTCTGGTTGAGAAAATACGGACAGATAAACCAGAGAGCTACAGATCCAAGCGTAGTAAAACCCGCTTTTTTCGCTCGCTTCGGTTATTATTTCTTGTATTTTATGCTTTCCCCCGCTTTAAGAATGGTATCCAATAATTAACTATTTATTTTACTCCTATTTTTGATACTTTTTTTTTTTACCTTTCAACGGTTCCAACAGCCCTTAGTGGTTGTCAGTGGAACATCGGATTGAAAAATTCCCATTCCGACGTCCATGTTGGGGGTCGTGCGAAAAAAAACCATACAATTGCCGAGAAAATGTAAATAAAAATATTAAAAATTCAGGAGATTCAAATATCATGTATATTGTCTATAAAGAAGACAATATGTATGTAAAAAAGAAATGAGATACCGTATATACTCGCCTATAAGTCGGTTTTTGGGGAGTTAAACTTTGGTCCAAAACTCTTTATCCGACTTATATGCGAGTTATAAAAAGATTGGTATTTTAGCAGGTCAATCCCTCTAATTTAAGCTTAAAAAATACAACCGACTTATAGGCGGACCGACTTATAGGCCAGTATATACGGTAAATAAAACTCGGGCGTGTTATTTCAGGACGACACCAAAATGGACGTCGGAATTTTTTTTTAAACTGATACTCCAAAACGTTTGGAACGTTGAAAGGTAAATAAAGTATCAGGAATAGGAGTAAAATATATGCTTAATTATCGGATACCATTCTTAGAGAGGGGGAAAGCATAAAATACAAGAAATAATGCCCGAAGCCAGTGACAAAAAAGCGGCGGTGTAAATCGAAGGTTTTTACAACGCTAGGATCTGTAGCTCTCTGGTAAATCTGTCCGAAATTTTTCAACCAGAGAGCTACAGTTCTGCAGCCAAGTCCTTCATCTACCTGTGGTGGACAGACAGGGTGGCACAGACTGTGACATCAAGTCAAGAATTGGCAAGGCAAGAACTGCATTTATCATGCTAAAGAACATCTGGGCCTCAAAGAACATCCGCATTACTACCAAACTGCGGATCCTCAACTCTTATGTAAAGTCAGTCCTGTTGAATGGTGCAGAGATGTGGAGGTTGACCAAAGCTACCCTGCAGAAGATCCAGGCATTTTACAACACCTTTCTCAGGCGCATCTTCAACATCCGATGGCCTGAAAGGATCACAGATGAAGAACAATGGAAGAAAGCAGGACAGGAACCAATGGATGTACAGATCAGACAGAGAAAGTGGGGCTGGATTGGACACACGCTAAGGAAGTCACCATCCAACTTCACATGCCAGGCCCTGGCTTGGAACCCACAGGGCAAAAGAAAGAGGGGACGTCCAAGAAACACCTGGAGGCGTGACTCGGAGTCAGAACTAAAGGCTCAGGACATGACCTGGCAGGATGCAGTAAAAGCAGCCCAGAATCGAGTTCGTTGGAGGACTGTCGTGGATGGCCTGTGTTTTTTCAGGGAACGACAGGCCTAAGTAAGTAAGTACTTGGTTAACAGTAACACAGCTGATTAACGGTAACACACTTGATTATTAGTAACACACCTGATTAACAGTTATACACCTGATTAACAGTAACACACCTGATTAATAGTAACACACCTGATTAACAGTAACACAACTGATTAAGAATAACACACCTGATTAACAGTAACACACCTGATTAACAGTAACACAGCTGATTAACGGTAACACACCTGATTAACAGTAACACACCTGATTAACAGTAACACACCTGATTAAGAATAACACCCCTGATTAACAGTAACACACCTGATTAACAGTAACACAGCTGATTAACGGTAACAAACCTGATTATTAGTAACACACATGATTAACAGTAACACACTTTATTAACAGTAACACACCTGATTAACAGCAACACACCTGATTAACAATTACACACCTGATTAACAATTACACAACAGTTTATCGGTAACAAACCTAATTAAGACTTAAACATCTGTTTTACAGTAACATACCTGATGAACAGTTACACATCTCTTTAATAGTTACACACCTATTTAACAGTAACACGCCTGATTAACAGTACTTGATTCACAAGTAAAACACCTGGTTCACAAGTAACACACCTGATTTATTTTTAAGGAATTTACATCCTCTGCCTCCTCTAGTCTGCTTTCCAGATTAAGAATTTGAACGCCTTGTATTTTGACCTTTTCCTCCAGGACAATAATTTTTTCCTGATATAGTTCAACCTTTTTTTCCAGTTTTTCCAAACGATTCATACACATCTCACTTCTTGCAAAATGAAATGGAGTGCTGAATATTAAAATAATAACAGCCAGCATGATTTGGACTAAGGCATCTTTGAAACTTGAAACAGAATAAGGATAAAAAATATCTTATCAGACGTAACCTTACGACTAAATGTCTATAAATTGTTTAACTAACTTTTGACCTATTTAGTTGATGATTTCATGGCCATTTGGTTTGCAGACCACAATAATTTTTCAGGGGAAAAGAATTCATTGTTCAAAAGACGATTAAGTTTCTTAATCCTTTTGTTCAATCAGATAAAATGTCGCTTCAATGCTGCTGATTTTCCAAAGGTTATGGTATTTTCTAAAGTAAAATACATGTACAAACAAATTTAGCATAACTTGGGGGTGGGCTAAATAAAGACATATAAAGGAATAACAGACATTTATCCAATAACGAGTAATCTCTCTTATCAGAGGGTTAATGGACCTTGAGACAAAACATCTTTGTATAAGTTCCCAAATCTGATTTTTTTTTTCTCAGCCAGTTGATCTGTACATATTATAACACACTTACTTTGAGTTTAGATCTACTTAAAATAAAATCGTTATATATTGCAAACAGTTTAATAAACGGGTACACATTTTCAAATTTTATGACATATAACATACAATTTAGAAAGACTCAACTATGTCCAAAAATATCATCTGAGCGTTTAAATCCCTTGTCCCAGGGATCATATTGGAACAACTTAAAATAATATACAATGTACAACAGGGATGTTCCTGCATAACCATATGACTTATTGCAGTACATGTACATGTATTTCTTTTCTTTTAAACAGATATTTTTTTATCTTAGCATGTGTGACTCGTGTCGAACTTTCACTGTTTGCTGTTGCAGAATCCTATAGGCCAGGAATGATTTGGATAAACTTGAATTTTCACTATATGTGGATACATGAATACCAATTTGGCTTACATACTGTTTTGAGAGTTTTAAAGTTTATGCAGAAGAAAACCTGATATGAATTTTTATTATATGATGATTCCTGCAGGTATATTATATATATATATACCTAATTTTCAGTAGAAGATGATTCTCATTTTTTTTATATTCCCCAATAGGAAAAAATCAGACCCTACTGTGACCCCTTACATAAAGGACTTTTGCAAGAGAAAGAAGAGTGATTAGTAAATTTAACTAAGTCCTAAATTACTGTACACAAATTGCTGAAATCACAGAATTCGAAAAAAAAAATATCACAATTAAAAATATTAAATTATTCATTTACCCGCATATTTATTTGTCAGGAAAGTAAGGTGACTCCGGTGAACGTTACAGCCATTAATCCATTCAAAATAAATGTTACTTCTGGTCTAAAACTATTCTCTTACAATGTAAGAGAAGTGGACAGGCTTTCGCCTACATCCACTTCTCTTCGCAAGCCTTCATGTTTTGATTCTGGAAAACGTGTAAATCTCGAACCGGTGACGGCCTACACTTCAACTGACATTTCGTCTAAAATACGTCTGAATATACGTAATAGACGTGTTATATTAACAATTTTAACATAAATACACACAATTGTCACAAGAAAACTGACCTTTACGTATTGTTAATCTATTTTCACAAGTTCTCCATTTCCGGATTTATAAACCTCTTTCTCTTTTAAGTAAAATAATAATTTAAATGGTCCCGCTTCAAAACATAAATCAAAGGTGATAATGCTTGATATAAAATTAGCACTCTGGAATACCCGTCCTGTGTCGTAGGTAACATGGCAGGTCTGCAGAAGGCAGATTCTGGGTAAGTATTAAACATGTTAGACTTAAGTTGAAATATAGTGAATTTGTCTGAGATAGTTTCATTTAAAATAAAGAGCTGATTAAGGTCAACATAATTATCTAATGTTTGATATCTCAAATATGCCCTTCCTCAGGTAAAATCCAAATGCCGGGGGTTGACAATCTTGAAGACTGCTTGCATTTAAATCTTAAGTATATAAAATGACACGAAGTAATGGACAGAATGTTAAAAATTCGTTTGACAGTCTGAAGGGATCTGTTTATCTGTACATGTAGCTGTATTAGTAAGGCAATGCATATGATAGACATTGTTATTTATTGTTTAATACATGTAGTTTCTTCATAGGCACTCAAGCGAACATATCTCTAGCCTTGTGATCGAGTGCCCTATTTAAATTTTAAAAAAAAAATGGATACCTGAAAATACGCAGATATTTATATAAAAAAGAAAAGAAAGTAAATATATAGCTCATTTAGATTATGATCATTATGTGCGTGTATTGCTATGACTTATTTTATAAACATATGTCAATTAATGAAAACAACGAAAAGAGAGAAGAAAAATCTTTACAGATTTTAAGTATGATCAGAACCCGATATAACCTCAGTATTCACGTATCGTTTTTCTTAATTTTTTTCCCGCATCTTTCAAAAATTAAGACGGAATATTTACATGTTGCAGATACTAAAACTCCTCATAAAAATGTATTTCATGTATTGTGTCTTATAATATATCCCTATTTATTTAACGAAAAACTTTATTGAGTTGGACAAATCTTTGTTATTTCTGTAAAGAAGGTAAAGGAGATAGGCAAACAAAGGTAACAGAATGCCTATAGCTAAAATAGATGTAAAAAAAATCATATTCAGTTTGTGAACTTAGTATTTAGAATGAAGTTCTAATTATTAAAATTTAGGAAATTATGGGGGGGGGGGACTTTTCTGCAGAATATTTTCTCGGCATTAATTCTTCTTTTATTGAAAAAATGGAACTTCTGGGCTTCGAACCCAAGCAATAAAACTTTTTCTTTGAGACGTACACGTTAACCATTACGCTAAACAACTCCTGACAAATATTAGCATTAAAGGACTGATGATAAAAGAAAATGGACGCCTGGATTGGTACATAATTTTTGACTTATTTCGGTTGTAAATGATGCAAATAATAAATTTCTAAAATAGAAAGAAATTGTAAACTTTCTATGATGTTCAAAATTCTACCTTTCTGCAACCATCCTTTTTTAATCTATGCATTTTTTTGTTACCCTTAATCAATTATTATAAAACTTTGAATGAAAAATTAAAATCTATGGTTAAACTTATTCATTTCATTTAAATAAACATGACTTAAGTTATTTTCAAATTATTTGTATCCTCTGTCCTTAAATCATGTTTGTGATATGACCTTTGACTAAATGGACTTCAAATATTTCTCGGAAAGATACGAATGCTGAGTTTAAAATGTTATTTTAAGGAATAGTGGGTCTTTTCTCCATGTTTTTGTTAAAACCAAAAATGTATTTTTACGCATACTTTCAAAAAAAATGGAGCGAAAAATTGTGTTATAATATGAAGAATGATCATTGTTGCCCTCTTTGGTGTTTGTCTGCTATTTCATAGACAAATAGTTTCAAACTTTGTGACATGAGATTTTTGCAAATTTTGGATATTATACAAAGTATACGATGATGTTACATGAAATATCATAGAAAATTTTGTTATGACTGAGATTTAATTTTTCACCTTTTTTTTTTTGTCGCACCATTTTGCTCGCCTTGTTCCCCCAATCTTCTTTAATCTTATTTGTGTGGGATCTGTTTTCTTTTTAAAAATAGCATGTCCTTCTTTACAGGTATGAAGAAGGACCGGGAGACATTGTAGAGAAGCTAAAGGTATGAGATACCCTGGTAATTTTTTGGTAGTAATTTGATTCAAATGATGAACAGTACTTGTCCTTATTAAATCTTGAATGAACTTTTCACCCTTCTTGTATTTAAGTAATAAAACGTGCATATTTTTCTTACAATAAAGTTTGGAGTTGATAATTTATGGTTAATTTACTTACATAAAATGTACTCATAAATTTCGGAATGGTAACTATATAAAATAAGAATTTATAACAATGATTAATAAATATATGTATATATGAATGTCTCATTTTCAAACTTTTAGAAATCTTAAGGATAAATCCTTTAAAATTCCCTAATTTTTATATCTGCACCTTATATAAACATGTCAATAGAAGTGGTTTGACTGATTACGTTTAACCAGGAACAACATGTAGGGATAACGCCCTCTTGGTAAATATGGTCAATTAATATATCACCACATGGACTAGCAATGTTTACATAGGGTTTTGTGCATTATCTGCGTTAATATGCATTGAAGAGGCTGTATACCGGTACATTATTTTATTTAAAAAATCTTTGCCTTGAAAGTTTCAACATTTTTGTAACAAAAACCATCATTTTAACCATTCATTGAGATGGGGCTTTGACGTAAAGAATAAATCATTCCTATAGTGCTGTAAGAAATATATATGACAATTATTATTCACAATCACCCAAGATCTTCACACTTAAAACAAACATGATATCTTTTACAGTCTCTACTTGATGAACATTTTCTAAAGTTGGAGGGAAAATTTTCGAGCCAGCTTCAAACCACTAATGAAAAACTTGATGTTCTCACAAAGCGAGTTTCAAATATCGAACTTAAGTTGTTCGATGAAGAACAAAAAAAGTTAAACAGAGACAAAGTTAAACAAACTGGCAAGACCTTAACGTATGGACTTAGCAAGCCCCGTCTGAGGAGATTTGCTGCGGTATGCTGTAGCGAAGATTCTTTACACAGTAGTAGTAGTAGTGATGGATCTTTCAATATACGATTGGAGGGTAAATTTTCTCCAATATTCTTTATACTAGAATGTGGTTTATAAGATATTATAGATAAGTGTCTTGTCGAGAAAGGACATGTTCTTTATTATTGGTATATGTAAAGTGTATTTAAAATTGTATCTGCAGATCTTCCAAGTACATGTGCCAATGTATACAAAGACGTTCTTGTTCAGGAGCATGAACACATTCTGAAAGACGTCGATCTTAACAGCACAGATGTCCTCGACAAATTAATAGCAGATGACGCCATTACGACAAGCGATGCTGAGGAAATAAAGAGGAGGGGAGGAAGAAAAGATCAAGCCAGAAGCCTTCTGTTAGTGTTAGAGCAGCGTGGTCATGGCCCATTTCTCAGTTTTGTTGACTCTTTAGAAGAAGATTACAACCATCTTCATCAATCATTAAAGAGATCATTAAGTATTATGTACAAAGAAAAGAAAAATGGACGCCTAACATGTACTGTTTGTAAAATTATAGAAAACGTTCACCCACGTGACATCATAGACAAATTTTACAGCCAAAAGCTTATACAACCAAAAACAATGCGAGACATAAACCAATGTGGCGATCCTAGGAGAGGTTGGGAACAGTTGAGGCCTTTCATTAAAAATGAAGATGCCATTAAGATACTAGCAGATTCACTCTTGCCAAAATACAAAAGTTTGTCAGAGGAGCTTATCAAAATTAAAGACATGACAAGACTTGTTTGCTTTTGTAAACGTCTATCTGCGAAACGAAAGCGTGAAGAATCAACCAAAGTAGACATACTACCCCAATCCCCAGTAGAACATAGCGATTCTTCTTTTTCCATTGAACTGCAAGCGAATAAAGACCCATCTGACGTAGATGCAACTGAACTCGAAAAACGACCTACTGCTTCGCGGGAATTTGTGAGCAGATTCAATGAATCAGGATTTAGGGAGAAATTCAATAGACAAGCAATAAAGAAAAGGGAACCCAAGGGGAAATGTGAAGAAAAGGAAACACTGAAGATCCCTAAATGAACAATAAGGAAATCAAAGCCCGGATGGACAGATTACGATGAAAAGTGACCATTGTCAAACACACGTTCATTGTGATGTGTGAGACAGCTGTGTTGTTTTTAAATATAAATTGGCAAGAGGATACTTTGCTTTAAAAACCAATACTTTAAACATACAGGGATGTTTATAAAAATTGTAATACCAAAGAGTAACTTAATTGCTCTCTTAATACCCCCCCTTTTCATGCATTAACAAAGAACAGAAGGTTCTAGGTGAGTCATCTTGGCCATACTGTTCTTCAAATGAAATATGTGGAGATAACTAACAGTATTCGAGCTCAAAAGTCCATTAAACATTACAAAATAGGAGCAGAGCAAACACGGACCTCTGAGACATCAGAGGTGTGATCAGGTGCCATGGAGGAGTGAGCATCCCCTACCGACCGGTCACACCCGTCGTGTACTCCTTGTCATGATCGGGAAATAACGGAAAAATCCGTCGACAATTCAGTGTGTAAATAATGTCCTAATAAATGGAATGAAAAAGTCAGTCGGCATTTACTTAATGATAGATTGTATTTGCTACATGTAACAAGGTCATTGTATCGACCGTAGAACTTACGAAATGATGACTTTAAACGAGACTGCTGATATTCTTGTTTCATCAACTTGTTTGTCAATAACTTACCTCGTTTTAGAAATTGTTCATACGTAGAGCATCAAAAATTTTTTAAAATATCCACCCCACTTTTATTCAAATGAATAATTTTGACCTAATATTGTAGCCCCACTCTAGACCCAAAAGGTATTGAAGTAACCAAACCTGAATAACACATCGTGGAGAAGCTTAAATATCAGTATTACTAACATGCGCCTGCTATTTTGAAGTTTTTTCAAAGATTTTTTTTCTGTACACATGCTTTTTGTAAAATTTTATCCCTGATTTTCGCTCAACCTTAACCCTAGAATACATGTTTTTAAAAGTTGAATTCACACAACTAGTAATGTAATACGTTTACTGTTGCTCAGCTCACTCTTAATTAGAATGTTCTTTACATTTTTTCTTATTATGATTGTAAAAATGGATTGTATTTTTCGGGTAGTTTTAACTTTGACCAAGAAGTCAATCAAGTATTTTTTTCTGTTAAAATATATACGCAAGCACATCACTTTCAGCGCCAGTATGATTTCCATTTCAGAGCAATAGAGGTATTTTAAATGCGATACATAAATATGGATAAACACATTTATTTTTATCCCAAAATTTGTTCAACAAAAAAACTAGGTGTGCATCACGAAAGCACGCATAGAATTGATTTATTTCACATTGATTTCAATGATAATCAGTGCAGCATAAAACCACAGAAAAATTACACCGACTTATTTCAGATTTAGAAGATAACACAATGTTGATTCACAGCAGAATAATCTTCTTCCCGGTTTGCAAGTTTTCTGTGGAATGGTATCACATGACAGTTTTCTCCTCACGTACTGAAATACACTGACGAAAATGAGTTCAACATAACACCCTTACTTCTAGTGCAGAAATTTTATTTATAAATAATAATAAAAAAAACTAGAAACTCATTGCGAGCAATGAGAGGTCTTCCGTCCGATTTTGAAAATAAAAACGTAAATTCAAGCTGAAAAGGTGATAAAAAAAATTCAGACACTCTGGAGATTTAACCCTGGTTGTCAGCGTGAAAATCCAACGTGCTAACCATTAACCATTCACTTTTTTGCATCACTTCCTGTCACGACCGGAAGTAACGGCGATACAAATTTCCTCGCGATTCAAATAAACTGATGACTGACTATCAGTTCTGAAAGTTTTAGACTTCAGTCGTTTACTGTTGCAAGCAATATTGTGAGAACAAATTCTAATTCTGAGGACAGGTAAGCACGCGACCGGAAGTGAATTTTATAAAAAAAAAAAATCTCTGACGTTTCTCTATACATTTGCAGTATCTACAAAATGCATAAAACATTTCAAGTACTTTATCGATAAGCAATACTGATGAGAAAGTTAAATATCGAAATAACGTAGTTTATCACCTAAACCGGAAGTTGACGTTTTTGTTTCCGATGGAATCTAACATATTTCAAAACAGCAAAAGAGATGCAATAAAGTGATGCAAACTTTGATTTAAAAAAGAAAAGTTAAAATTTTTTGATTTTTTTTATCACTTCCTGTGACGACCGGAAGTTACGACGGACGCGTTTAACCAAAATGGTTTTGCCTACTCCTCAAGGTCTGCTACTCATAAAAATTTGGTGTTTTAATCTTTTACCTGTTTTTGAGATCTCGCTCAGACAATTTTTCATTTTGAGGACAGAAAAACACGGGACCGGAAGTGAATTTTTGAAAGATATTTGAGGTTACTCTAGATCTTTGCAGTCTGAATACATTATTCAAAATTCATTTCAAATACGTTATCTATAAAGAATATTTATAGGTAAGTAAAATAATCAAATTTTGTAGTTTTTCTCTTATAACCGGAAGTTGTCGTTTTTGTTTCCGGTGGGACCAACATCTTTCGAATCTGCGAAAAAGATGCAATAAAGTGATGCAATTTTTAAATAAAAAAAGAAAAGTTGAAATTTTCGATTTCTTTGATCACTTCCTGTGACGACCGGAAGTGACGGCTGACAGTCTGAACCTAAGTGTTTTTGGCTACATTTTAAGGTCTGTTGCTCATATAAGTTTGGTGTCTTAATCTTTTACCGTTTTCGAGATCTTGCTCAGACAATTTCTCAGTTTGAGGACAGAAAAACACGCGACCGGAAGTGAATTTTTGAAAGATATTTGAGGTTACTTTAGGCATTTGCTGTCTGAATAACATATTTAAAATTCATCCCAAATACTTAATCTACAAAAGATATTAATGGGAAAGAAAAATACTCAAATTATGTAGTTTTTCTCTTATAACCGGAAGTTGACGTTTTTGTTTCCGGTGGGACCAACATATTTCAAAACTACAAAACAGATGCAATAATGTGATGTAAGAATTGATTTGAAAAAGGAAAGTTGAAATTTAACGATTTCTTTGATCACTTCCGTAAGCGACCGGAAGTGCCGACGACGAACGAAAAGGCGCCCTCTCCAATCTAGAAATCATGTTCTATCATCTCTAACAAGTCTCCAGTTAATATCTTAAGCCATTCTTGAGAACACTCAAGGACAAAATTTCATTTTAAAATCAGGAAATTGTCCATAACTTGGCACTGGAACCGAATTTTCCAAAAAACGGAATTTTATATAAAATTCATATAAAGACCTTTTATCCCTGAAAATTTCAAGGAAATTCATTGAATAGTTTTCGAGAAATCGCGTGCACAAAATTTTGTCTAAAAAAAAAAGAATAATAATAATAATAACTAGAAACTCATTACTAGTAATGAGAAGGTCTTCCGTTATACTACTTCCTCTTTGCATCAACATGTCTTTTCCAACGTCGGTATTAGCCTAAAACTTATGTAGAAACAAAATAACTCAAAAAATTACTTTTTTGCTTCGTTTCCTGTCACGACCGGAAGTAATGACGACACACGATTTTTACACGATGCAAATGAACTGATGACTGACTATAAGTCCAGAAAGATTTAGACTTCAGTCTATTATTGTTGCCGAACAATTGTGAGAACAAATTCTAATTTTGAGTACAGGAAAACACACGACCGGAAGTGAAATGAATAAAAATCTCTGAATTTTCTCTTGACTTTTGCAATATCTACAACATATGTAAAAAACATTTCAAATACTGATATATAAGTGATATTTATGAGAAAGTTAAACCACGAAATAACGTAGTTTATCTCTTAAAACCGGAATGTTAAAGTTTTTGTTTCCGATAGAATCTAACATATTTCAAAACAGCGAAAGAGAAACAATAAAGTGATGCAAGTTTTAATTTTAAGAATAAAAGTTAAATTTTTGATTTCTTTGATCACTTCCTGTGACGACCGGAAGTGACGGCTTACGTGTTTAACCCTATATGTTTTGCCTACTCACCAAGGTTTATTACTCCTATAAGTTTAGTGTCTTAATCTCATGCTGTTTCCGAGATCTCTCTGAAATAAGTTTTCATTTTGAGGACAAGAAAACACGCGACCGGAAGTGAATTTTACTAAGATATTTCACGTCACTCTAGACATCTGCAGTCTCAATAACATATATTAAAATCATTTAAACACCTCTATGTATAGGCGATATGTATGGGAAAATTAAAAACCCTATTATGTAGTTTTCTCTTATAACCGGAAGTTGTCGTTTTTTGGTTCTGGTGAGACCAACACATATCGTAACTGTGAAAAAGATACAATTATATGATGCAAGTCTTATTCCAAAAGAGAAAAGTTGAAATTTTTGATTTCTTTGATCACTTCCTGTGACGACCGGAAGTGACGGCTGACGCTCTTAACCCAAATGGTTTTGTCTACTCCTCAACGTCTATTACTCCTACAAGTTTGGTGTCTAAATCTCTTACCGTTTCTGAAATATCACTGGGACAAGTTCTCAATTTGCGGACATTTAAACGCGCGACCGGAAGTGAATTTTACAAAGATATTTGACGTTACTCTAGACATTTGCAGTCTTGATAACATATTTAAAAATCAGTTCAAATACTTTATCTATAAAAAATATTTATGGGAAAGTAAAATACTCAAATTATGCAGTTTTTCGCTTATAGCCGGAAGTTGACGTTTTTGTTTCCGGTGGGACCAACATATTTCGAATCTACAAATAAGATGCAACAATGTGATGAAAGAAAAAAATCAAAAAAGAAAAGTTGAAAATTTCGATTTCTTTAATCACTTCCTGTGACGACCGGAAGTGACGGCTGACGCTCTTAACCCAAATGGATTTGCCTACTCCTCAAGATCTATTATTCATATAAGTTTGGTGTCTAAATCTGTTACCGTTTCTGAGATATGACTCGGACAAAATATTTCTGAAAAAAACGGAAATCGGACATATCTGACGACCGGAAGTGAATCTTGATAAAAATGAAAGATACATTTGTAGGTATTTTCATTCTCTATTATCCCTGAAAATTTCAAGAAAATCCGTCCAGCCATCTCTGAGAAATCGTGAAAACAAGAAAGGGAACAAAAATAATAATAACTAGAAACTCATTACTAGTAATGAGAAGGTCTTCCGTTATACGACTTCCTGTTTGCATGAACATGTCTTTTCCAACGTCGGTATTAGCCTAAAACTTATGTAGAAACAAAATAACTTAAAAAATACTTTTTTGCTTCGTTTCCTCTCACGACCGGAAGTAATGACGACACACGATTTTTACA